CAGTTTCGGACGTTTCGTCCCGGATTGGGGTTCGGGCAGCGTTACCATGTTGACCGTCATGGTCAACTTGCCCTAAAACAGTTGAGATTATCTGTCCTAAATGAAATGCATACAAACTCATATACAGGTCCTAGACTAATTAAAGTATCCATTAATATAATTTACTAAATTATTTTTACTCTTCTTGTTTCTAGCTGGTACATCAGTCGATAACATATCTTATTGGAGGCTTCCATACAACTGGGAACAGTAAGTACCGGTAGTAATTTATTATAATTTATTTAATATATCGAGTAAAATGTAGCATCAGGAATAAGCAATATTACTGGAAATTAAGAAAGATGATTTCATGCAAAGACGCCCGTCGCGTTCTTATAATCTCCCTTTTTCCTGATAACATACATTATCTTCTCCAACTTCTTACTACCAGGAAGTAATGACAGTGCTGCTATCTGAGACCAACCTCGTTCCCAGGCTCTTAGCCTGGGAACGAGGTTGATCTGAGACAAGACAGCATCTTGAGTTGTTTCTTTTTAGCCTTGGCGTGGTGTTTATATTTTCTGGCGACACACGAGGAAGTCCAAGAAAAATTGTACCAAGAATTTGTTGATGTTTTGGGAGACGAAACTATTACAGCGCAGATTTTACCACAATTGAAGTAAGTAACAAGTTTAATATTTTCTATATCGGTGGGTCATGCACAAAATTGCTACAAAATTCACAAACTTCCTTTAAAAATTATTTTAAACTCACAATTGAAGAGAAAATGTCGCGGTGAAAGCCTCAATCTCAAAATCTCAAGAATTTTGGTTGTGATTTGAAAATCACAAGTCAAGTACCGGGTACGCGTGCGGTAAACCAACAATCAGAGTTCTATTAACCTTCCCTCTCAATATGAACTCCCATCTCGAATAACCCTCCCCTTTTGGAAATAAAGGAATTTATTATAAAGCATCAAGACTTGTGTATCGCGCTTGATAGAAGTGAGTGCAGATGGGTTTAAGTAGATCTACATACATAACCATTCCGTTTTTAAACTCCTTCCCCCCCCCCCCCCCCCTTTCGCAAAAAAGAAACATGATTGCACCGTATACTGGTTTGATTTATTAATTTTCATTTCCTGTACATCACTCGGTAGAAATTCGTCCTTGTGATGATGGAGAATGTAGGCTTGCAGATCAATTTCCAAATCCCAAAATCTCTAACTATAATACTTGTGGCGTTATTTCAAGAAACCAACACAGAAAGTCATCCAATGTCACCAATCGTTTTGATTTCCAGATATTGCAGACAAGTGACTGATGAAACAATTAGGTGCTGTGTAATTGCTCCTTGGGCAGCCAGATATGCTGACTATGATCTACAGATTGGAGAACACATTATACCAAAAAAGGTCTATTGCAATGTTTTACTAATTACTCTAGTTCTTTGAACTGACAAAGAATACAAAAAGATCGTTTTATTGCACGTTTACTGTGTCTGTCTGTAAACTAACAAATGTGTAATGTTCTATGTACTAGTTAAAACATGAGCAGCCGATCTTAATTTGAATTTAATGAATTCGCCAATGAATATTTACATTTTCAATGACAGGTGAAGGACACAGAACCATTAGTCCCAATTGAAATCCTACACCCAAATATATACAAACTCGTCGAATTTAATTATTTTAGATGTCGAATTTTGCATGAACATAATTGAAACTATTGAATTGGACACATGCAAAATGCGACGTTTGAAACACAGGCCTAAGACACAGGAAACATAAACTGCCACTAAAGCATTACTGGTCAAATTACGTTTAGTACAAGCACGGACGACTGACCCCAGAGATATTTTCTGATAACAGGTTCCCAGATTTAGGAAAGGCAGAGACTACTAGCCCAGGCATCATTAAAATGATTTGCCTGGACTAGCCTGGCAAAAACCAGAATATATACGGGCTAGGACTGCAGCTCCCATCTGCCATCGTAATTAATTCACCGTCGTCAACAATCGATTACAATCGATTAATCATATTGCATAAATCTAGGCTCAATGTCGTTTCCATGTTTCATGTTTTTAAAATTTTTTTGACAGCCAAAGGGAACGCTAGTGGTAGCAGAGAAATAAGAAAAACAAGTCGCATTTGTCATTTGATCACTTCGACAATACTCGTAATTTTTTCCATAAAGTTATCTAGGTCACTAGGTGTAATACCATGCACGGCTGTTTATTCATTCAATTATTAAGAATAATTGATTGGTCGGGATCAGCCCTAGCTTGGCATTTCTTTGACTTTTTATTTATCTTTGATCTTTTTAGACTCCTATAATTACCGCGATTGGTGTTGTCCATAAAGATGAAGCAATATGGCCAGATCCAGACAAGTATGGGATGAATATATATCATACTTCCTTTATAGAGTGATTTCCAAGCAATAAACACATTTGGCGAGATCGTACTGTACATGCCGATAGGCCATTTCGATAGGCGATAGAGACGTTCAGATTTTGCCTCCGCTACCTCTCACAGGCTTAATACACATTTGATTGGTTATCGAACATTTCATGCAAACGCATCTGATTGGTTATTAGTCCATAAATGGTAGCGGTAGTAGAAGTCAAATATGAACGTCTCTAATTAGTAAGCTTCGACTTGGTGTTATCGTTCTTGACAGTAACATCGTAATTCAAAACTGGTCTGTTGGTTTGGTCAACATCGTTTAGCATGTATATTTTTGTGTGTAGCCACATTTTCGTAACAAAGGAACATTTCATTTCGACTCAAATGAATGCCCATTTTTTTAATAAATCAATTTTACTTTCAATGCTTTTCAGGTTTGATCCAGAACGTTTCAGTGAGAAGGAAGTTAAAACACGTCATCCCATGGCTTTTCAGCCCTTTGGCTTTGCTGGCAAACGTAAATGTCCTGGTTATCGTTTTTCGAACGCTGAGCTTGCTGTAGTTCTTTCTGTGTTATTGCGTCGTTTTAAAATTCACTTGGTGGATGGCCAGGTGGTTGAACCTGAGTACGCGTTGGTGACGCAACCCAAGGAGGAAATTTGGATCACTGTAACAAAGCGATAGAATGTGAAGATTTGAGTGTATTGCGTGAAATAACACAAGATGAGTAAAGAAATTGAATACTGAAATTACTTTAAATCATAATAAACGCTATAAAAATAGAATCATAAAAATATAAGTATAGATAATCATGCGATGGCGAGTACAATTAGGGATTAATAGTACGAGTACTATATTAATCCCTAATTATACGACCAACATCGCATGATTACTTCTTCATTATTAATAGCATGACAAAATTGGATAATTCTAAATGTCAACATCATATTCTCTCGCGAAAGCCCAGTCCTGCCAGACTTTCAACCAAAATTTGGTGCTTTTGTTCGTATATTTGTTTAGTTATGTTGCTTTAAGTTTCTCTAGGGCTATTTAATTTGTGTTTAAATACCTTTCCGCCATTTTGTTTTATTTTGGGAAAATCATCATAATTGTACTGCAGTACAATTAATTAAATAATTGTACTCCAATCAGCATCCAGTAATTTTGTCATGCTAATAATAATTAATATAACAGTGTGGAGATCTTATTCATGGAGTAATACTGTAGTTAATAGAACTTCCATAACACATACAGTATAACAACTGTTTAATAAAACTATAGTACAAATGCATGTTTAGTACGGTTACATATTTTTTTGTAGAAATTATCTAATTTGAGTTTTGTATTTTAAGGAGACAAAATGTAGAGATATTAAATCAGCGTGTGATGATGGCATTGCTTTATTAAGGAGAAGAAAATATCTCAAAAACGAAAAATGGAATTAAGTAAAAAGACTTTCTTTTACCGTTCTCTAGTGTAGTCTACAGTGAATAATCCCTTCTGTTAAGATAATAAATAGTTTTGTGTCATACAAATGCGGGTGCATTTTAGTCAAACTGATGGGCTCTTAGCAATGCGATTTCAGCCCGAATCGTATTCTTGGCAATGCGATTTTAAAATTGCTCGAATGAGCTTGAGGTTTAATCGCACTATTTTTAAACCAATCGTGTTGAAGTTGTGGCCTTAGCTAGCCAGTGGAGTTTGGCCGTATTTGGGGGCAAAGCTTATGGGGTGAAGCTAGAAATACAGCCAGCCAACAAACTCAATCTCGTTCCCCGAGCCTGCGATCCTCGGGAACGAACGTGAGGCTCTGGGATAATCCGTTTCAGGGAGGAATCTGATTGGCCGTTGAAATGGAATGCGCAGTTCAGTTTTAGCCAGGATCCCTGGCTTCCGGCAACGGATTATCCCAGAGCCTCGCGTTCCTTCCCGAGGATCGCAGGCTCGGGGAACGAGATTGCCAACAAACTATGTTATTTTGTAATACGCCCACAGTTGTTTATTTAGGCGAACCAATCATTTTCACATTGGTACTACCCACACTGGTTCCAATATTAATGCCACACTATCTGCCAATCAACGTGGCTCTCTACCAATGGAAATTTTGCGTTGCTCAGTAACGCAAAAATTCAAAATAGTATAGTATGTTGGTTGGCCGTATTCCTAGCTTCATCCCGTAAGCTCTGTCCCCCAAATTCCGGCAAAGCTCCGCTGGCTTGATCTGGCAAATTGAACAAAATAAACAAATCTTTATTGAGGCATGGCTTGCCATCTTGCAGACTGCCTTGGCTAATTTTTTTGCATATAGAAACAAAACAAAGGATAGCTTAAACTGTTAAAAAATTCTGAACAGGAATTGTAAAGAGTGACTTGGGAAAGAGTGACTCCCAAGTCACTAACTGTAACAGTAGGGATAGGCGAAAGGGAAGACATTTTGTTTTTGTCCGGAGGTGAATAGTGCAAGGATATCCGCAGCTGAGCAACCAAAGAACCAATCAAACTGCGTGAAAGCATTATCCACCGATTATGCTAACATACTTTATCACTAAAATGTTAGTTTATATTTTTGTTCGAACTAAAAGTATAAAACAATCCCATGCAGTGTTTCAAAATGATCCAGCTTAATTTTAAAAATCACTTCATCATCATTGTTGAATAAAAATAATTTTACGTTCGATTACTTTGTTGTGATTTCAAACTAATTGTCATTAATCCAACAATTGACAGATGCATGGTAGTTATTTTCAAAATTTGCAACTTTTTTAATGTTTACTTGTGATGTTTCCCCTGAGTGTGCCACACCGAGCAAGTTGGAAAGTTTGTTTGACCGCGTTGGGAATCGAACCCGCGACCTTTGCTAGTCCAATGCTCTACCAACTGGGCTACGAGGCACTTAACTTCTTAGTTCAGTTGGTAGACCATTGAAGTAGGCAAACATATATCTTCACCTAAGTCCATAATACCAGAAACAAAAAATTATATATTATGTTTATAGGTACAGCAGGGGCGGTGTAAGCTTCCTTCCACGGGAGCGATGGAGGAGGGTGAGGTATAGTTTGGCAGAGTCATTAGCTTGGTATTACGCATCCGGAACCGGTTCTAGGGGGTTTTCCCGATGCGAATCATCCTCTTTCCTGGGACCATCCCTTTCACTTATTTAGTGTAGGTTCATTTCCTGATTTCATACGAGTGACAAGTCGCGATTGGGGATGGAGGAGGTACCATTGCTTGCTAAGGATCTCAATCGTTATGCTGGTGATGGTGCTTAATTACAGGGTCCCCACCTTTTAGTGAAGATGAAATTCAAGGACTTTTCCAGGACTTTCAAGGACCTTTTTCAGCATATTCAAGGACTTGGTAACTGAAAAATATTTTATCCTTAAACTTAAGGAGAGGAATGCAATTAGAAAAAAAATGACATCGAAAACCTGGCCAACATTAAAATAAGTATTTTAATTGAAATTGGAGAAAATAAACATTTGGGCAATAATCCTTGGGCTGGTAATCTTAATAATCCTGGATTTTTTTTCAAGGACTTTCCAGGATTTTCAAGGACCGTGGGGACCCTGTAATTAGTTATGTGCATCTTACCAGCTACCCAAGCCCGAAGCTGGCTCTCAATTTCTGGGGGGGGGGGCACTGCTGAAAAATTGGTCGGTCGCAGCCCTGGAAAATTGGTAAAAATACGTTCTTCTAGAACGTGAAGAATATTAGATTTAACCTTTAATATTTCTGTATTTCTATATATTCGGTAATAATCCTGGATTATTTTTTAACAAATTCAAGGACTTTCCAGGATTTTCAAGGACTGTGGGGACCCTGTAATTAGTTATGTGCATCTTATTATCTTCAAGACCTAATTAATTTCCCCACCATTGACCAAAAAAGAACCTATGTCCTGAAGGTATATTACCTCTTACCTATACCTCATCAACAGGTGTACCGTATGCGTGGGGTCTTACGTCACCACACCGAAAAGTGACTAACAGTTGCTGTGACAGAGTCACATACAGTGTAACTGGAGAATAAGTATAAGATGAAGACCACACCAAATTCAAAAAAATTAATTAGCCGTGCTAGTTATTCTCAGGGAATACTTCAACAAAGTGGCAGAATTCTTTTATTTACTGGAGTTGTAAATTATCCTTAGAATAACCCCTGAAATAATGTTTACGTTAAAAACCCGAATAAAAATGTACGCAAAAGAATCCGAGTGTCGTTAAAATCTTTAAAATGTCGGGAAAAATAAAGAGGCAAACCATTTCCATCATCTAATATACATAGACAAATGTTTAGATTAAAATTTAATCGAAAAACTCGATAAAAATGGAAAAAAACAAACTCGTTCAAAATCTCGACGTTTTATAAACGAAAAAAAAACTCTTTAAAATGATAGCTAAGTACAAACTCGTACTGAAAACTAGCACACACTAAAAAGGTTGAGAAAATAGGGGTAAGTAGCTACAAACTATTGTTGAATTTCAACGATTCTGCTTGGAATATTAACAAACATTGTGCTGATATTTAAAAAATCGCCTGTCACTTTCATGTTAAAAACTACGAACAAAATTGAGAAAACTTTGAAATTTTACCGTGTGGTCAGCAGTTTCCAAGAGTCTTTGTGTGTAATCCAGAACCAAAATTAGGCCATTTTGATAGGATTTTTTCCTTTAAATGCAGCTTTTAATACTTAAAAACGGCCATTGACCCTCGCGCCCTTCGGCGCTTGTTGCTACTAGTAGGCTATCACTAATCGGCTACTAGTTGCGCAGCCAATCAGAACGCACGATACATGATAGCCTACTAGTAGGTTTATAAATAAGCAATATTTATGTCCGCGATTTTTACAAAATCGCAGTTGGCAACGCTGGCAGAAATAGTCGAAGGAATTTTTCACTTAAAGCAAACGGTAAGTTATTTCAATCGATATATTTGTGTTTATAATTTGCGAATATGTCATTTATAAATAAAAACATTGCTATGCATGTCTGCGCTGCCTCTGCATGGACAACTCTAGCTGGCCTCTGGTCTAAGAGGTTTTGATCCGCACGCTTCATATCATAGTTAATATAATGAGAGGGTTTGGAAGGCCGGCAAACTTCAAAGGATCAAGCGCCCTTTCATGAGCCTTAACCATGTTCATATAAAGCTTTAGTCTAGGACCTGTATACGAGTTTGTATGCGTTTCATTTATAGCACAGGTAATCTCAACTGTTTTAGGGTAAAATGACCATGGCAGTCAACATGGCATGTGCCAAAACTTGAATCCGGGACGAAAGTCCTGAAAATGACCCCGCCCTGAAACGGCAGTGTCGACATAGCTCTAACTTCAGAAAACAAAAAGCGATAGTCTTTCTGAAGTGCTTATTAAGCACTTCACATCTCATCACCGCCCGACTTAGTCTAGGACCTGTATATGAGTTTGTATGCATTTCATTTAGGACAGATAATCTCAACTGTTTTAGGGTAAGTTGACCATGACGGTCAACATG